CCCCTTGGGAAGGGTCCTTCGAAGGCCACCGCAGGCATTTTCCCCCAGCTGAGTGGTGGGAGCGCTCCTTTGGAGGCTCCCGCCGCTCAGCTGGGGGAAATGGTGCCTATGGGGAAAACATCGCAAAGCGGTTTTTCCCCATAGGCACCTTCGTTATACGATCGCAAAAGCGATGTCATTTTTGCCATCGCTATGCGAATTCGTCGTTAAACGGGGCACTCGTTATACGAGGCACCACTGTAAAGACTTGTCTGAGATTCCAGATAGTTTAAGACACACATGCTGTAGTAATACCATGTTTCCCCTAAAATAAGACAAGGCCTTATATTAATTTTTACTCCAAAAAAAAAGGGGGGAGGCTTATTTTCTGGGGATGCTTTATTTTTTTCATGTACAACAATCTACATTTATTCACATACAGTCATGTAATCTTCTGGTTGCTGCACAATGGTGGAGGGCAGGGTTTCACTTAACTGGGGCTTTTTGGGGGGTAGGGTTTAAATTACGAGCATCCTGTAAAATCATATTAGGGCTTATTTTCAGGTTAGGTCTTATTTTCAGGAAACAGGGTAGTGATACAGTATAATACTAAATTACATAATCAGTTTAGATACTTGGGCATCCACCAGTTTTATCTCATCCTACAAAACAAGTTAAAATACACCAAAAGTTCTAATGCACATTTATATAAACGAAATTCCTGACAACAATGCTCAATGTTAAATGTTTACTCAGAGGGTTTCTAGCACCTTCACTGAAAATAAAATGCAAGAAACGAAAGTATTTTAAGAAATATCTGGGAAAATACTATTTTAACTGTTCCAAATTAACAGTAATAAGTCTGATAAATAACATTCTACATTTTCAAGTGTTTCAAACTATCCTTTGGCATGCAAGATGTTTGGACTACAACTTCCAGAACCCCCAACTCACAGTGACAATGATAAAAGGTTGTGGGAACGGTAGCCCAAAAGATCTGGTGTACCAAAAATTCACTACTCCTAACTCCCATAAGGAATTTTAATAAAACTGCTTCAACAGCTACTGCTGATATCAACACACAGACATCTACACTATGCAGATACTATAAAGATATTTTCCTTTTTTTCTTTTTTACAATAAGCCTAATTAAAATCTGAACAAGGGTGTTCTTTTTATGTCCTAGCAGCATAGAAGTCTCATCTTCTGAATCACAGACAAAGGGATAATTATATCTAACAACTATTAAGATGCACTTTGGTTGCAAAAAAACAAGTGAACAAAAAGCAAAGAAGCAAAAACCCTGAATGCAATTCAGCATGAGGACACCTCTCACTTTTAAACTGTGAGGTCAAATAGATATGTTGACAAATATTCTGTCCCAAATCTAAGACATTATGATATGAGGATGCACCCACTGTAATGTCCAAGCCAATGAAAATTAAACAGTATTTATTAGGTCTCCTGTTCTTGATTTGCCACTTGGGGAAAATAAGTCAATTCTAGACATATAAGTACTTGTGCCTATTTTACAAATATACCAATAGACTACCATGCAGAATGAACTTTAGTACTTTTTAATGAGCTGCTAACTCTCTAGACTAGATTTCTCCAAACCTGAGTACCTAAAATTAGATCAACCAAAATAGCTGCTTGCTCCTGCTGACTTGCCTAATAACAAACTTCAGAAACCAAAATTATCAGATCATGGCTAGTTGGAAAGAGTGACCCAGTGCTGTCAGACAATACATAAGAATTAATCTAAATGTCTGCAAATGTCAACTCCTTAAAACGATTGACAACACTGAAATTTAAGACCAAACTAGGAAAAGTGACATTTTTTCAAAAGTACAGCACACGACTTCAGTCAAGTATTTAGGGCCATCATATTCAATGCATACACGCAGAATACTTCTCAGTTCTAAAAAATTCATCCATTCCGTGCATTTTTTAATTTCAAAAGCAGCAGCATATGTTTGGGAGAAAATAACTTTTGTATCTGCTTCCTCCTCACTCCACAAAAATTTTCACATCAAGTTCTGAACAGTAAGTCATAGTACTGCTACCTAAATTCCTCCCAAATCCCACTGTTAATTTATATGGAGAAAAAAAGGGGCTATGGAGACTTTGTGCCTGGACTTGTAAAGCCAGGGTGATCTCTTGACATTTGTTTACAATGCCAGAGCTTAATCCCTGCCAGCAACCTATTACCATACTACAGAAGCCCTGCTTAGGTACAGAGTACACTTCCTCACAAAGCCTCTTCTTCACGCATTTCAGAGTCCATGCTGAGAATTAGAGGACTTTACAGTTTGCTTACAAGTGCTTCCGAGAAAATTTAAGTGCTACCTATACCAAAAACTCAAAACTACAGTGCATCTCTTACCCAGTGCTAGCCAGGGCCAACTGCTGCGTGAACGGATGAAGAAAAAAATGCACAGGCTTTTCCCATTTTGCGTAACTCTACACATGATCAGAGGTACTTTCACCTACTTCTTTTCTCTTACCTTGCCTTGCTTGAGACAACGTAATGCACTTTTACTTATTCGCACCTTCCTAGAGTCAAGACATGAGCATTAACACAGAGAAGGGTGCGTCTACTGATCCCCAGGAGCAAGCCCTGCAGGATCAATGCCACCCGACACCACTTCCCGTCTCACCTGAGGGTCCGCTGAGCTTCTGCTGTCTGTGACGATCGCTCTCGTAGAAGCCCAGGGTCTCGGTTCTGTGGTGTTGTCCAGGATTAGGAAACTCTGGACTCGAAGAGGAAGGTACCGAACGCGCAGGGGACGGATGAGGCGACCGAGATTCTCCGCCCGTGAAACTACTCCGCCGCTGCCCGCTGTCCGGCTGAAGCAACGACTGTTCCGAGGCGCCTCGTCGCCCACCATCCCCACTTCCCGGCGGGGCGACAGCATTGGCGACGCCCGCCATCTTCCCTCGCGCAAGCGCCACAAACTGTGATCCGTGCTGCTGCTGAGAGAAGCCGCCGCTCCTCCGGAGTACGTCATCGCCGCGCGACAAAGAGCGCACCAGCCGGGCCCACCTCTCCAACGCGCGCGAGCGGCGAGCGGTCCTGGCGGCCATCTTGACGGAAGCAGAAAATGCATTGCTATAGTAACGTCTGTCTCTCCGTCGCGGCTTGCTTTACTTTCTCCTCCCCTCTCTTGACGACGTCCACCCAAAAGGTGTCAGCAGAAAGAAAGGAGCCCTGGAAAGAGAGAAGCCCAGCCTTCTCTGGCAGAGTGCCAATGAGCTGAACCACAGCAAAAACGATATCTTTACTTGTATCTGTGATAAATTTCAAAACATTTTTGACGGTAAGGTCTTTTCCCCCCTCTTAGTATATGCCTATTTTATCTGAAAAACAGAGGAGCGTGTAACTTGATTTTGCAACAATTTTAGTGCACGTATATAAGAGTAAAAAGACTGAGTCCTAATTCTGATTTAACCGTGTGTCGGTTTAAGCAACACACTTCTCTTAGGCAGATTGGCACCAGTACCACCACCAGACCCGCAAACGCTGAGATCAGATGGGAAACTTGTTGATTTTGCATTTCCAAGAGCTGAACGTTTATTAGTAAAGTCTCAGTAACCACACTGATATTTGACAAGTGAGCAGACATGCCTAGAATCTTACTGCGCATGCGGAAGCCGCTACATATTTATGCGACACTAGGCATTCTTTGGAGCCCCCACAACTAATAAGTCGAGGGGAGAAGCAAACAGTAGAAGGCAAGTAAGTGGAAAACGGCAATAGTCACCTTTTCTGGTGTAGTGTGTTTTTTTTGTTCTTTCTCAGTATGGCTCTTCTATCTGCACAGCACTATCTTCCAATATATAATCTTCCAATATATAATGTGTATATATAATCCGATCCCCTTCACCTCACACAAATGTGTTTTTTATTTCAGTTTTCTTGCTTTTTTTTACCCTAACGTGAATTTTTATTTTATTCTTACCAGTGCTAGTACCCCAATTACTACCTGTGGTTTTAAAAATAAACAACATTTTCCTGCTGTACACTAGATACCCCACACATTAAAAAAAACATTGCTTGCATTCTGTATCAGTTGTATTTTTGTCCTCGGGGAGAATTATTATCGTACAGGAAAAAATGGATTTGCTTTAATCTAGTTACAAAATTATGTTAGCATCAGTTTGTGGCTGCTTGTACTAGAGATGGGAGTATTTGTATTTGTATACGCATATCCCCACACAGCTGGAGTTAACGAGGGGTCCTGACCGTCCACTCACGTTTCTGCCAGTAGCCCTTCTCTTCCTTCTAATTGCTCCGGAGTGCCACTCAGCTATCCACTTGGCAGCCTTGCAGGGAGACTCATCCTCCTTCTGCCAGGAGGAGCTAGACAACCGGGAAGAGAACGATGTTCAGGAGCAATTGGAAGGATGAGCGGTGCCAGTGGCAGAGAGTGGATGGCCCGGCCCCAGGGGCTGGACCCTCGTTAACTCCAGCTGCGTGGGGATATTCTTATACGAATACCCCCATCTCTAGCGGATACTGGTAAGGTGGAAGCAGTGCTAATACATCACTAGAGGCAAAACCAAGGGATTGGAAGTGTATCTAATGAACATAGAATACTGTAGATGCAATTTGATCACAGTGTAGTGATCTGTCCATTGTTAAAACTGGAAGTAAAATAAACCAAATATCCAAGGTGAAGCAAATGACTTGGAAACAGAAAAGTCGCTTGACAATAATCATGAGTGAAATAAGAGACAATTGGTAATCCCAACAAGACAGTGAAGCATTCCTCTGTACTCAAATCTGTCATAGGGGCAAACACACACTTATCCTTTTTTTAAAACAAAAATAAAAGACAAAAAAAATACATTGGTGCCCCACTGGACGATTACCCCGCTGGACGACGAATCTGCTTAACGTTGAAGTTTTTGCGACCACAAAACGATGTTTAGATGGGGGAATTTCACTTAACGTTGATCAGTTCCCTGTTTCGGGAATCGATTTTTCGCTTTACGACGATCAGCAAACAGCTGATCGTTGGATTTCAAAATGGCCACCGGCTGTAGAAAATGGCTCCCCGCTGTGTTAGGGACAGATTCCTTGCATTACAGGCACCAGAAAATGGCCACCGTATGGAGGATCTTTGCTGGACGAGCAGGTACTTTGCACACTGGAATGCATTGAATGGGTTTCAATGGGTTTTTTTTAAATTTCTCTCTACAGTGATTTCGCTGGAACGAATTAACGTTGTCAAGCGAGGCACCACTGTATAAGTAAAAGACCTTAATAGCACAACACCACATAAACAATACAATAATACATAATGTGCTCCCTTCTACTTGGACTGTCTAGAGATAGGACCAATTTTTCCTCCATTTTCAGAGTCGTATTCCTTTCCAAACCTGCATTGATTCTTCTGAGGGAACATAACCCTTTCCTTTTACTAACACAAAGTCCATGAAATCTCATCAAATATAAATAGTAATCTTATTTATCTCAGCCTTCTTTAGTTGAATATTGTATATTAAGTTATCATCTATAGCTTTTTTCTAAGCTTCTTTATACCATTCATCTTATAGAAAACCATCTTTATTTCCAGTTCTACTCCTAAGATGTAATATCCTAGTGCATGAGTGGCCCATTTTATAGCTACCAATCCTCTCTCTGTTCCCACATATTTTTGTCCACTCTGGGTGAGTTTGTGGCTAAAAAATAAAATTAAATGTTCTCCTTCACCTGTCTTTTGTGCTATAACTGCTCATAAACTGTGATCTGAAGTGTTCGTTTATAGCAGGGGTCTCCAAATTATGGCCCACGGGCCACATCTGCCCCCCTTGCCATTTTATCCGGCCCTTTCCCTTCAGCCCATTTGTGCACATTGGGATGCATGCATGCAGGGGGTGGGCAGGGGGCAGGCAGGCAGGGGTGTGGTGTGTGTGTGTGTGTGTGTGTGTGTGTGTGTGTGTGTGTGTGTGTGTGTGTGTGTGTGTGTGTGTTTCTGTGCACACATACGTTTCTGTTCCTTTGGCCCTCAAAATTGTTGAAAATATCCAGTGTGGCCCTCATGAGCAAAAGTTTATATGATAGCAGATGGAACACTGGGTGCACCACTACTCTGAGTTATATTCCAGAGAGAATGGAGTAACCGAAGAGGTGTTAAATAACATTGAGTGCCTGCCTATCTTGGAAGAGTAGTACAGCAAACCAACTTTAGCAGAAATAAAAGCAGCCTTGGATTCCCTTACCTCTGGAGGTCCAGCTGAAATGCATGCGGGACTTCCTCTTCGCCAGTGACACAGCTGTTGTTGCCCATTCTGCTGAAGACCGCCTACAACTCATGAATTGCTTTAGCAAGGTCTGCCAAGAATTTGGATTACCAATCAGCCTGAAGAAAACACAAGTCATGGGCCAGGATGTGGACTCCTGCCTCTATTACCACCTCCACACAAGAATTGGAGGTTGTTCATGACTTTGTGTACCTTAGCTCAACGATCTCTGACACTCTCTCCCTAGATGTCAAGCTGGATAAACGTATTGGCAAAGCAGCTACCATGTTTTCTAGACTCACAAAGAGAGGATGGCTTAATAAGAAGCAGATGGCAAATACCAAGATCCAGGTCTATAGAGCTTGTGTCCTGAGTACACTCCTGTACTGCAGTGAGTCCTGGACCCTTTGTGCATGGCAGGAGAGGAAGCTGAACATTTTGGTATCACCTGGCAGGACAAAGTTCCAAATAGAGTAGTCCTAGAACAAGCTGGAATTTTTAGCATGTATACATGTGAGGGTTCAAACTCTGGCTCTTGTTTTTGTCCAAATAAATCAGCAGACTTGCGAGGTTTTGAAACAGGTGTAACCTTTACTGCGGTGTTTAACAGGAAACCAGTATCAGCAAACACAGTCCAACATCTGTCACCTTCCAACAACGGGTCAGCAAGGAGTTTTCAATCTTCAACCTTAAAGGGGTTCCCTCATTCAGAGTTCCATGGTCTGAGCCAATACGAGGATAGATTTGGGTTCAATACCGGTCTGGTCTCTCCCTCTAGTAACGGGACCATGTCCTCATCCCACTTATCCACCCAAGTGGGGTCCCTAGTAAGGATGTCAGTCTGCCATGGTCCTCTGGGTATCCCCTCAACTGGGCTCCCCTTATTCTCAATTCTAACTTTTCGTGTTTCTCTCTTTCCATTTTCTCCTTCTCCTCTCTTGATTTCCTTCTCCACTCCTTTACTTCAGCTTCACCCCAATAAGAAGGTCTTGGGGGTATTTCCCTCCTCCAGTAATCAGCCTCCTCTTTGGGTATCCTGAGTCTTTCCCATACTGCATCCGGATCCACTCTCAAACTGGCAGTAACTCCCCTTCCTTTTTATATCTGCCACCTCCACCTCAACCTCTACCCTCAGCTTCCGCTCTTTTCCCGCCATTTCTTTCCCGGGTTTCTTTAACCGTCAGTCTCTGCAGCTCTTCCTCAATATTCCCGTGTGTGTGTGTGTGTGTGTGTGTGTGTATTTACACACTTTATAAGTTCCATGAATTTTATAAGTTCAACATGAATAGAAGGAGCCAAGGGGTGTGGAGAAGGATCTCTCTGCAGCATATATTGGATCTCTCTGCAGTGAGAGGGAGGGATAGCACTCCAGCGAGAGTGGATATTGGATCTCTCAGTCTCTGGCTGATTGATGTGTTAGAGACAGCCAAAAGCCCAGGAATTATTCCTGGACCCTTCACTGGTGACCATGAAGGGACCCTGAAGCATAAAGTGGTTGCCTAAAAATTGGCAGAAGGAAGCCTTCAGATTGGCTCCTGGAGAAACCCTTGATGGCTCTGATCCGTCCTGGCGTGCACCAACTATTTTATTTTCTTTTTTATTGTTTTTTGGGGGGGCATGATCTGGGCTTTCTAGGGCAGACCAGCGAAGCCACTGACAAATGCCTTACAAGAGATCCATTAGGAAAAAGGATTTAGAGGAAATGTGAGGAAGACTTCAGGAGATAAGTATAAACAGGTTGTTAATTTAAATGTGTTTTATGTGTTTATGAGTGGGTTAACAATAGCTCTGAAAGCAGAGGGTGAGGCTAACCTGACCTTAGATTGTCAAAAAGAAAAAGTGACCAGGACTGA